CAAACACGCTATGTTTATGATCGGACCTGCGACTAATCAAACCGCTGTAAACTGATACCTGATAAACTTCATTCACCATTTATTTATTTACAGGAACATGCATGTATGCATGTGAATAGAATTGTTTATCTGTGAGTCGTTGCAGATCGAGACAATGTATCGGAAAAAGTGAAAAGACAGAATCTAACTTTACTAGGGAAGCTTTTAATCAAGATGATTATCAGTTGAACAGTACGGTTGGTAGAGTAAGCCATGTTGTTAAAACTTGTGAGTGATGTCAGTCAACAATACTTCTAACTGTGAAATTTGGGGAAAAAACAATATAACACTTAGAAAACGATATACTAATGATTGTCTCAGATATGAGTGATTGTATACCGCTTATAATAAACAGTAGTGCTTGTTATCCAGCCACCTAACAGCCGCTTCCCGGTACACTCGCCTCGACTTAGCTCAGAGACCACTGAGTTGAGAAAACACCCGATTTCTGAGTAGCTGGGAGCACTGGTAGTAAGTATCTTTGCAGTGACATCAATTGTAAAGGTAGAAGATGAGAGGAATGTTTATTTAGAAACTTTTTTTGTCTGTATGTATAGCAAAGTCGCTGGTTGCACAGCGGTAAAATGTTCCCAACTTCTAATTCTAACTTTAAACCTGGACTCTAAATCCAAATATTAAAAGCAGTATAGATTTACAGAAAAAGTACCTAGGAAACAAGACGGATGCTGTGTCTACTTTCCCTAAGTCTAAAGAGACAGGCATAGTTTGATTTGGAATGATTTTCATAAAACTTCCTGTATTTGACTTGTATTCGAAAGTCATGTTTTCAGACGGATTTCCTCCCGAAGCACTTAAAACGAACCGAGAGACTGTGGTAAATATTCTCACACAATTATTGCAAAATGTTTGGAAAACAGGCAAGGTACCTATCGATTGGAAGAAAGACTGGCTAATTTGTCAAAATATAAAAGAAGGGCGACTTACGCCTCACTCTCCAAGAACTGACTGCAGTGGAATATTGCTCTTTTCTTCGCCGAGTAGAATACACAGTCGCGTCATCCTAGAGAGAATAAATTATGTACTGGATACAGAACTCCTCCAGCCCAACTGGAACAAGCTGACTGAATTCAGGATAGTCAAAACATGTGTTGACCAAATTGCAATTTGACGCACCGTTATCCAACAGAGCAAAGCATAAAATGGTAGTTAAACATCACTCTACCACAAATTCATCGATTTCCAAAAGGCATTTGACAGACAGCGTTTATGGATAAGTAATTTTGAACTCCATTATGAATAAGATTTTAATTTGATGAATCACGCAGTGTTATACACTAATGAATTATCAAAACGCTTAGCTGTAATATTGTGCCCCATTAGAAATCGTTCAAATTCTAGGCTAACTAAGTAATTCATATATGAATGACTAGGGTGCGAACGAAGGATAGGCTAGATAGTTTCACCCCATATATGTGCATTTATCAATTCAACTGCACCTGCGGTGACAGTTTTATTGGGCGTACTACTAGACAGACTAGTCAAAGTGTTAATGAACATTTCCCATCATCGTGATTTGGCGAAGGACAGACAAACACAATCCGAAGCTCATTTTTGTCACATTTAATTGATTGTAGTCATGTTGTGGAGAAAACGATAGCTTTCACAGTAATTCATTCTATCTCACCGAATCTTTCTAATAGATATAAGAATAAAATATATAAATATAAAATATAAATAACTAAATGACATTCAACTAGAGAATGATGAAACAATGGTTAGTTCTGATATAACTAGTCTTTATACTAACATACTAATCAATATGGCCTTAGAAGCAGGTAAAGAAGAACTGACTGCAGATCCTGAACTCAATCATAGGACAAAGCTGCCCAATTGGACAAATTATTTTAGGGATTCAGTTATGCCTCACATCTACTGTCTGTAAATTCAAGGGAAACTATGTAGACAAACAGAAGGTGTGTAGCAATGGGATGGATCACCAATATCCCCTATTGTAGCAGACATATTTATGGACAGCTGTGAAAGTAGTGCTCTTAATACATTTAATCCTACTCCAAAAATATGGTGGAGATTTGTGGGTGACACTTTCACAATGTTAAAAACAGAACATATCTCTAGCTTCTTCACACACACACACACACACACACACACATAAACTCACTAGTAAAGGGAATAAAATTTACATTTCAGTCAGAAAATGAACAAGGAGAATAAGCTATGTTAGATTGTAAAATAAAACGAATAGAAGAAGGTAAACTGCACACTGACGTTTACAAAAGCCAACGCAATCTGCTGCTAGACATTCAGACTTCAATTCATCTCATCCATTCGTTATCTGTCAGTGAAGGCAGTCTTAGTTAAGCGTCTAACAAACGGGCAATAACAACACTAAGTAGGACGAAAAACGACCTTAATGATGAAATAAAACAGATAAAAGTGCGTTGCTGTCAAATAACTATCCTTTAAAATTCATTATAAAGATCTGAAAAGGTTGAAAGCAAAATAAAATTAATTGTGAAACTAGTAATGATAACATAAATCTAAGTCATCTACTGTTATACCATATAAGGAGGGGACATCTGAGACCTTATGTGGGATTCTTAATAAAAGAGGAATTAGGATGGCATATAAACCTACAAACTCACTAAGATAGGACAAGCTATGTAGACTAAAAGACCCGGTGGACCCAATTAGACAAAATAATATAATTTACAAAATGCCTTGCATTGACTGTTAGTTAGGTCAACTACCTACATAGGTGAGTCAAACCAGTAGATCGGGGATCGTCAGATTGTCGGAACATAAGAATTTAGCTAAGGTAAGAATGGTTGACCCGGAGAAGATGGTTAATTTAAAAAAAGCTTCACGCATTAACACACAAGCACACAAAATGGTGAGAGATGGTTAAGCTTCTAGGAGAGAGATTGATTACTGAATCCTGGCTGGTTCATAGAGTCTACACCCAACACATGCAACCGAAATGACTCTATGCAAATACCAGAAATATGGAAGATATTATTACCACCAGTTAAACCAGAGGAAGGTAATAAGTAATCCTAAAATTCTATTTCAGTTCAAGTGTATCGCAACATTCTAACAAGTTACGTATTATGACTACAAAAACACTCGTCTTATTTCCCATCTGATTGCAATTGATCAATGACACTCATATTATTATTATTATTTCTGAATTTACATAATCCCATATTGATTTTTATTCAAATGTCTAATCATCAATTCCACTCATGCATATAAATGAAGGAAACAAGAAAGTTGTGTGAGTGAGTGACTTGATATGATTATGAGTGACAATAGTTTGTGCTCAAAACGTCACCAGTTAATATTACTGTATAATACTGTGTAACTTATCGAAATAAAATCTTATCCATAATGGAATTATACTCTACCACAACACCAAAGTTCTATTCTTATATCAAGTAATTTGGAAACTCATTCGACAATATATCTTGCAGTGCCTAAGTCTTTATCAACCTCACACAACAGTTTGCTATGTGAGGATGATGCCACTTGTCAGGTGATGCACAACGAAAAACTCAGTGGGGCATTTGAAGTGGACACAGGAGTAACACAAGCTCGCTGACTGGATGCCTATTATCACCATCGGGGATATTCCTAAATGTGATGCACTGAATTATGTGGAAGACTGTGCATGGGGAGTGCACTAATCGACGAGAAGACTCTTATTATTTATTATTACTAGCTCCTTCATGTTCCCAGTGGAACATAAGGCATCTTCAAGTTAGAGGCTTGAAGTTTCTGTAGCAGTGTTTATTTTTCCTGGATGTGGTTTTGAGCCTAATGCCCAACCTTTCCTCTTCACCAGCTTTATTTCTGGCGTAGTGAGGTAAAGAACTGCGTCAGACTGAAATCTAACCCCGTACCATATGGACAACCGGGCAGCGTCCTAAGTCCTGTTCCACCGATCCACAGATGTGGATTTCGCGTGTGAATGACTTATGTTTAGTGTCACACAAACTCGAAGACCCACAGGCGAAAACCAACGAGCTGAATGAAGAAGGTGGCAACAAAGGCATGACTACAGGTGAACATAGAGAGGGTGTAGATGGAGATGAATAAGAAAACCAACCGTCACCACCACCACCACCAACAACAACAACAGCAACAACAACCAGCACCAATCAACATCAACAGGAGGGATTTGACAGGGGTCACTTGCTTCAATTATTTAGACTACAGCATGATTTCGACTACATGCAGTCGGAACGGATAAATATGTCAAAGCCAGCCAGCCGGCCAGAATCGGAAAGACAAGCAAGATACGCATGCCTTCATCAATCTGAAACCAGTTTGGAAATCTTCTCTACTACGCCTCAGCTAGCAAAAGGGACACGATTCGGATTTTCACCTCAGTCAGTCACTTCTTATTTTTTGTCGGAAACTTGGTGTATGCATCACAGAAAACATTTCCAACAGCTAGTTGCACCTTTTTATCAACAGCTGACACCTTTGCTGGCTGGCTCCATACTGAAGATCAAACAGCCAGTCGGCTGGTCAGAAAGAATCAGCAGTCTTACTGGTGATCCTGCCAATGAATGAATTTACCCAGTACCGATTACCCAACAGACATGTAGGAAAAATTGGAAATGGTGTATTGGTTGGGCATACGTTGAGCAGGCCGTTGAATGACATAACACTCAATGCATCACTTGAGTGGGTTCCGAATGGTAAGCGAAAAGATCGGGTAGTCAGTGCGAGGGTGACATGGAGTATTATAGGCAATTCTGAGGTGGGGGAGGGGCTTAGCCAGATGAAGACGACGGGAGAAAACAGAAGAGAGTGGATATGTGTTTCTGAAGCCTTATGTTGCACTCAGAACGAAGGGGAATAATACTACTATTAATGTAGGTTAAATTTTAAAACAGTTTGATTTAACCACGAAAATAAATAATAATTTTAAAAAGAATGAAACATAATTATTAATTATTATTATTAACACTTACAAGGAAGTAATAGGAATGGATTTGCATAAAAATTTCCAGGAGGTGGTTCATTGATTAGATTATAACCTAGTAGATTAACTTTATTTCCAAAATTTTCAGCTGCTATTCTCCATAATTCGCCAAAATAATTCCATGCTCCTGAAGCATTTTTATAAATATTACCAAATGTATAAGCACTTTCATATGTAAAATAAGTTAAAAACCACAGTGGAGTGTTTGGCGGAATTGACAACGGCCAAGGATATTGAAATAATTTTGGTAGTTTTGGCAATTTATCCATAAACCAATTCGGTACAGAATCAATTGCACCAATACGCTCTGATAAACCATCTTGATGAAAATCTAAAATCACATATATTCCATTCTGTTCTGCATTGTCAATAATTCTGCGCAGATTATGTAAGTATTTATGATTTATTTTTTGTTCAGATGGTTTCAGAGCTAACCAACTATATTCTAAGCGGATAACATTAATGCCCCAATCACGGAATGTTCTCAGTGTTGATGCATTGAGTAAGGAGAGAAAATAATGTGGTGGATATTTAGGCACAGTATTAATACCATGGAATAGTTTAACATAACCACGTGAATCAATAAAATATCCTGTGTTTTCGTCAACCATAATTTTACTCATATCATGTGTATACACCAGTGATTCTGGGAGTAGAATAATTATCCAGACAAAAGGTAGGATAAAATTCAACGATGATAATATATCCATTAAATGCATAGAAATCTCCCTGTATTGTAAATTATTAATTGTTTTGATCATAGAAATACATTAATATTGTCACTAATAAAATACAAAAAAGAAAGTAAAATGGTCGAACATTACATATATATATATATATATATATATATATATATGTATATATATATATATTGATTAGTTAATAATATCCTGTTACTGGTATCTCATTTCAGAGAAATAATGATACTTCACATTTTCACTGTTTCACCTTATTATTCTTTTTCTTATGATGCTAATTACTTTGATGAACAAAAAAAGAAACAAAACCCAACTGCATCTCCTAATTTTGTAGGGGAAGCGGAAATTTGACCTTAGGAAAATCGATGAATTAGCTCTCGAATAAAATTTACTTATTTCATTTCTATTGGACGAGACACCAAAATCGAATGACCTTGAAGTAGCGTAACCAATCAGATCAGCATTACAAAAGGATGCTTTTCTTCATAATCATCGTTGTAAGTTTCAGCGACTATCCCCTCTATTCCCAACTCTCTCCTTCCATCTCATCAGGAGAAACCAGAAATCAGTACAAAATAATATATGCTCGTACAACCAAGTATAGGAACTCAACGATACCATATTTGGCCCGTGTTCTAAGTGACAAAGACAATGTTAGGCGTGAAACCTATGACTTCTTTTGTTGTTAATAACATAATTTTGGCCCTTGTTATTTCCCCCTTATACTCTCTTATTTGTACTCTATAGTGCACAACCTTCTTATACATACTTGGCTACTTAATATTATTATCATTGGCTTACTTTTTTGTACTTTATTCCTTCTTTTATATATCTACTGGGTCCGACTATATTATCACTATGATTATTACAAAATTGTCCTCTCATTAACCATCATGTAATATTAGTTTTGTGGTTGTTTTTTGTTCAGCAATATTAACTGACAATCTTGGTTGTGAATGCCATTATCACCATCTTAAAGATTTGTATTATGCATGATTCCTCACACTACCACTACAAACACCGCATTAGACCTGACAATAAACAGTGAAATGTTATTTTATGATTGTTTAGTGTTGTTTCAGTCAAGTTAACTGATCATCTTGGCCATAAACATTCTTAAGAACATCTCATAATTTCTTGTATGATTATAGCTGTTACTGTCCACCACGCATACACATATCATAGCTTCCACTAACCAATACTGAAATATTTTTCCATTATTTGTGTTTATCTTCCATTCTACTTGGTATTTTTATTTGCATTTTTTCTTTTGTTTTTTTGTTATTTCTGTGTTTCTTTTTTGGTTTTTTTGTTGTTTTTTTTATCTATTTTATTTTTTTTGTAATACTCCTTTTAAATGTACGATGAAATTAGATGCAATATTGTAGATATGTGCTGAAAATTCCACACTGTACCACAAATACTGTTTCTGGAATAAAGCGAAATTGTTATGTTATGTTAAAGATTAAATTTCGTTTTCGACTTCTCCTATGCAGCAGATGGTTTGATACGAAGGAATAAAGCATGAATATGTGGTGGAGGGATAATGACTATGCAAATGCATTGCCGGGCTAATGATGCAACTACTTTTAAATAAGGAAGTCTGTAAGGGTCGGTAATTTGTACATTATAATGATTTTTTCGATAGTTTTTTCTCGAAATGAAACTCTCTCTCCCTTAGTAAAATATTGAGGATATGCCATAAATGGCTATTGAAGTGACCCGTAGTATCTGCTACAGCTGCAGAAACACAGAATACTAAAATGTCAACGGTGCAGTGAGTGGTATCAGCACTGTCGGGATATTGCGTCACAAAACATCAATGGAATTACTTCTGTGCTTGGAGGAATTCGGGCAATCGTTCATATTGACGAAACGGTATTTATTAAGGAAAAAGTGAGTTATCTCGGTAACAGAGCAGCAAATCACTTTTTGGAACTAAGACTGTATGATACAAATCTTTGTAGAGAGGTTGTAGAACTCATCCCAAACAGATATGCCGGTGTTCTAACACCAATTATACAACGACTGGTCCTCCCAAGCACTATCATTAGTAGAGATGAGTGGAGAGGTTATTCGCAATTATCATCAGTAGGCTATCTCCTCATAAATTTAATCCTTCTTCTGAATCGGTGGATGCTATAAGTGGAACCCGTACAAATTCTACTGAAGGTTTCTGGGCCCATCTGTAAAAGTATTAGAATGGTAAATGGTTCCCTAAATGTTATGATGTATGGCCACTAAGATGAATATTTTTAGTCGACATTGGTTTGATATGTCTGTAACCAATCCTATGAGAAAGTGGGACAAATTTCCCCGGTGTATCAGAGATGTATATCTTGCATAACTCATTTGTATTACATATATAACTTATAAATACACGGTAAATAACACCCAGAAGAATGTGACTGGTTGTTTCAACATCGTCTGAATTCAGTGTCTCTTCTCTGCTGTTTGTGTCGCGCAGTTGTAAAGAAAGAAAAACAATCTTTCTTAATTTATTTTGGGAAAAATCTAGTTGTACACCTAAAGTTTAGGCTTGGAGAATTGAAATTGGCTACGAGCTTTTGATCCGAAATCAACTCTTAAAACTGATAGTTAATTCTAAACCAATAAACACGATGATAATAAAATGAGCAGAGAGAATAAATGACCTTGAATTGACGAGACGTGATTGGAAGAATCCTTTTCAACCTCTGCTTGGTCAATTTTATCCAAGATCAAATTCAAGTGAAATAGAATTATCCAAGGAGTGCCAAACTGTATAAACTGCCACTACTTTTTATAATAATCATAATAGTAATAAAGCTGAATTTCCTACAATATGTGAACTCATATTACAAAAATTCTTAGAGTGTTTAATTTCAAATATTTCCTCTTTATACACGATTTACGTGTCTGTAACAATCTTAAGTATATATTATGTTCCATATGAAGAGAGAACTACTTCTCCAACGAGCCGGACAGGTAGTTTCTCAGCACTTCGGCTGATGAGTCTCCATTGAATTATAGATTCAATTAGAGACGCTTATTGGGACCAGAAAGTGTGAGCGTTTTAAGCGGTTCAGGCTTCACAAATTTTGTGATCCAATGTTCTGGGTAGCCATTTTCAAGGAAGATTCTTTTTTCAAAGTATTCAGCTTCCGTTCCATTGTGTCAGGGCTGCAAATTCTGCGAATAGACAGCTGGCATAACTATATTTATCCCATGTGAATCAATATTTTCGCATATGCAGCATATTGTATCAGTTAGTGGGATATTTGTTTAGTTTATTTTTTTCAAATTTGACGACGAATTGATAACAGTCAGAGGACTACTGAAAACTACAGAGTCCTGAATAGCTGCTTCGTCCTAGTGTGGGACATTTCAGTAGTAAGAAACCTCCAAGGTTTGAACTCGGCTACAAAGACAGCTCGTAGGACAATGAGTCACTCGGACCCACAACCATTGGCCAGCCGACGAATTCTAACTTCCACCAATTCTTGACTGGCACAAGCCGGTGATGTCATCGGTTACGAGCATATCTTCTTACACCTATCCGACCTAGTAGACTCCACTGTCATTAGAACTTCCTCCAGTCAACTTGGTTCTTTTGCTGATAGTCACCAGTGAGTATAAAATTAAGTTTCACGCGTTAGTTTGTAAGAATTTGATTCGTTTCAAATTCGACCACAGACTGATAATGATCGAACCGTGATGGGTGTGTAGCGACGATAAGTCCAAAACTAAGGGGACATAACAAGTGTCCAGTACTCCATACTGGTTTCCAACGCTTCCCTAACCTAACACCGATCCGTAGTCAAAATTGAAACAATTCGATACCCTATATATGTTGACTAACTCTTGAAAATTTAGTTGTTTATTTTCCAGGATTTCATCATGAACTGACATCCGTTAGAGGACGAATACTCGCCACTGGTGACACTTGCTGGTGCCACTGGCGTCACATCATGAAATGCCAGGAGTTGGAATTCATGAACTGTCGGGTCCCAGTGGCTTAATGATCTATGAGCTAGCTCACCCTGTTATCAGAAGGTCATGAGTTTCAACCCTGGCAGTGGATGTGTACTTCTGAAGAGCCCCAGACTAGGCTGAAGAAACAGCCGTCCATTATTCCTGGCTGATTTCCCAATGGTTCTCTAACTTATGTCAGTTCATGATGAAATCCTGAAACCGAATCAATCAAATCCCGGCAAACCTACACTTGTGTTATTGTCGTTGATTGAAATTAATTGTGAATATTCGATATGCTGGAGGATTTCGTCATGAGCTGACATCAGTTAGAGAATCATTGGATTACCAGCTGGGAGTACTGTCAGATAGCTGTTCCGTCAGCCTACTTTGGGACTCTTCAGAAATGATTTTCTAACCAATATCAGCTCATGAAGAGAAATCCTTCAAACAATCAAACAAAAAGATTCCTGCAAAACCAACACTGGAAAATTTTCAATACGTCTCATGCATGTTCTAAATAAGGTAAGCGTACATACACAAACAATCAGTCGACTAAATCGTGTATTATAAATAAGATAAACACAATACCTTTATGTATATTATATTTTTGCCGAGTGAAATTCATCAACTAAATAAACATCTCTAACCATATTTTTTTTTATTGTACTCTGTCGGTTCTCACTTTCAAAATGGCACGTTTGAAACATGCTGATTCTTTGAATTCTCTATCTGTAAACACTTAATACAATACAAAATTATGCAAAGGATAAAAGAGATGTTTTGATTGTTAGTTAGTTAGTTAGTTAGTTAAACATACTTTTAACTCTAAAGTTTACAACACAGCAGACAATACTAACAAACACTTTATTCCAAACAACTAAAAGAGTAACTATACAGCATGGAATTTTCAGTGCTTTTGTTGATACTTATTACGACAATTTACATTCTTTTAAATAAACATGTACAGACATAAAACTTAAAATAGAAATAATAATATCAATAATGTTGGTGAACACGTAATGAAGTATAAGTAGACAGTAACATAGATAATATATGTAATAATACTAATAATAATAATCTCAGCTTATACTCACTTCGCAGTTCAATTA